AAATGCATTGACTAAGAAGGTATGGAAAAACGCGCCGTACAGGGACTGGGCAACGAGGCAGGCACAAAAAGGGGGAAGAGGAGGAAGGGAAACAGGAAAGGGAGGGGAGAGACAGAAGTCTGAGGGGAAAGGGGAGGGGAAGAAAAGAGCCCAAAGTCCCTTTCTCTCCCACCCTTTTCATGGACGCTTCCCTCGAAGACTTACATGAAAGCGAGGCTGAATGATACCCAGCTGTCTACACGCGACTGTGGCGTCTTTAATGTCCCATCCTGATGACTGAACTGAACCTCACGTTCCAGCGCAATGAACCTCTATTTGTCCCATATTTGGTGACTGTGACCCGCGTAGCCTAACCGGCATTACTGAAATATTTTGTGGATAGAAGAGGCTAAAGAGGTTGAAAATAATTTGCAATTTGATTGGCTTAGAGCAGTGGTATTTCAGCTTAATTTGAAATACCTACATGTGAAAATTACAATTCTTTTGCGGGTATTAGTATAAACAAATAATAGCATGATTTGTACTTGATATTTTGCATAAATACCACTCGTGATATTTCAAAATTCTTAAAATTAATTAAGGAGAACAATTTCGAAATATCACTCGTGGTATTTATGCCAAATATCACTACAAATTATGCTGTTACCTATACTTTTACTACTACATGAGAAATTTCTGCAATTTGATTGGCTTAGACGAGTGGTATTTCAGCTTAATTTGAAATACCTACATGTGAAAATAACAAACCTTTTGCGGGTAGTAGTATAAACAAATAATAGCATGATTTGTACGTGATATTTGGCATAAATACCACTCGTGATATTTCAAAATTGTCTCAAATTTCACTAGCTTATCGGCTCGTGAAATTACGTATAAAAATTTCGAAATATCACTCGTGGTATTTAAGCCAAATACCACTTCAAATCATGCTATTACCTATACTAATAGAACAGTAGGCGTCATGCCCAAGTAATTGGACAGTAAGCTCCATCGTAGGCGGGCACTTGAATTGGTATTGAATCGGAATATCCCGTGTTTTAATTTTGTTAGAGGAGCTCAAAATATCATAAATTTTGTTATAGTTATGATTAATTGGCAACAGAACTTCGTGTCGTCCAATTCGGTCTTTAATTTTACTCGAGTTACACAAATCAAACTCCCGCTACGCGGTCGTCCGATTTTGTTAATCACTCGTATGATTACCGACCGAACTGGACTCCACTCATTCCTATCACCATTATATTAGCTTGAAGCGGAATAATCTTATTCTAGTTAACGGAGCTATGCTTAGAAATTTATGACAAATTCAACCAGTTGGAATTGCCTGGAAATTGGCTGAAACATAACAATAACCGCTCAATACATTCAAAAGAGGATATGAATAACACAGAAAAAACATACAAAGAAGGCGCGAATGGAAAAACTTAGAGAAAATTAAAGCGGATTGCGATGGTGTTTTTTTAAAAAGTCTGACAGTTTTTCAAATCTTTTTCTTTTTTGTTGTAACGTTTAATATAATAACGTTAAGACATTAATATCAGTTATATCTGTTTTACACGAAGCTGTGTTTTTGTCAGAAATTTCTAAGGTGAGGTTCCATAGCGAATGACCACACGTAATGAGCTAAACTGAGTAACGTAGACCCTTTAACCAGGAAAAAAGTAATTCTAATGATAATTTTTTTAATGATATTTTTTCTTAGATGAGGCATCGTGACAATATAGATGGCATCCCCTGTCTCCCTGCAAATGAAGTAACAAATAACAATAATATCACATCATTTGATTCAAATTAAAGTTCGGTCATCAAACTTCATCGACAGCAGGAAGTGATGTCAGAGTTGTTTATTGGGAACTACAGTACGCCAGTGCAAGGTTTAGAAGAATCAGAGATGATATTCTTGACAACTTAAAAATGAATTTTAGACGATTGGAAGACATCTTCAATGACTGGAATAAAGAATGCTTCGAAATGAGGGAGAATGATTTAGAGGCTAAGTGTAGTAACTCCATGCTGCGAAGGAAAATTAAAGAATCTCTTGATGGCCTTAGAGAGATTGAAGAGCTAGCGAGAAAGGCGAACATAAAGTTGAGTACAATGGTATAAACTTATGATTGAGTGTGAATCAGCTAGTTCAATGCTGAAGAAACTAATTCAAAGAGTGCAACCCAACAGTACAAAGAGTGCAATCTGTTATCCAAGTATCTGTGATAAAGATTCAGTATTCAGTACCTGGAATTAGAAATCCATGCTGTAGAATACAGAATCCAAGAGTGTCTTGGACTCCCTTGCATGGGGCGATAGTTAAGTAAAACGATAAATATTTTAGTTGATTCTCATCTCATTCGTTTTCATCAGAAACAAAAGCGAAATTTGCGGCTGCTAGGGTAAAGCGGGAGGCTTGATTGTTACTCTGTTTGGCGAAGCTTGGCGACCCTATTAAGGAAGTAGTGTATTTAACCTTTATGATTAATTTCAATTAATTTTTGCAATGTGCGAGCGCACGGAAAAGGAGATATGGTGAGTGACCCAGCGAAAATTGTGAAAATTTAGAAGATCTATAAATTTATTTTGAGCATTTTTCATGAGGTATTTCTTCAAGAAAATCATTTGTTTAGAAGCGAGTGCTTGCCCAGTCAGCATAGTAACGCAAAACCACTCTTGGAATTGCGACATTTTTGATGACGATGTATATGATGATGATGAGAAGATTAACGCTTTGAACACAGTTGTGTAATAGACTGAGTCCATCCTGTGGGGAGCGGATCACGAGCCAAAAAATTCTACATATGGCGGAGGCCTTATCACGATACCCGAAGGAGCATCGAGGTTCTGATTTTTATCAGAATTTGTCTTGTAGGTTTTACAGTTAGAAAATGTGCAAATAAAGGGTCACTCGCCTACGACGAAGGACGGGTATGTTTCTTAGCAAGTGATAATAAGTATTGAACACATCAATCACATAATCATTTGAAAACGTATTTTAATTTACTTCTAAATTAAAAATGGAAACTGCTTGAATAAAAATGCAACCCGCTTTTACAAAGCACAGAAATGATAATAATGGCAATTGTGCCTCTATCCCAAGATGGATGGCTAAATGGTATCGATATAATGGGATTATAGAAGTGTAAAAATATATATTTATTTATTACTAAATCTAAAATTCAAAGGCGTGAAGTTAAACTGGATTTAACGCATCGTCTCTTAGTTCAATACGGCCGTGCATTTTCCTTGGATAGAAAATCTCGAAAAGTACAATCCAGTATGACATGACAGATAACATTTACCACTTGGCCAGTTGATACGCCTGTGATATTAAAATACCAATTAACGTTCGAAATTTACCCGGCTGGGGTCTATATTCAAACATGAACTTAAATTCTATATAACTGACTGTTTAAAAATGTACCTAATAACATTATGGTTAATAGTTCAAGTCTATAATCTATACTTTTCACACTAACCATTTTCACTTTCTCCCACAGTACAACTTGTTTATCCTTCAAAATTGTGCATATTAAGCAGTCTTCAATAGGCCATTTCCGAGTTCAGAACAACTCTCACTTTAAAGACGATGCTAAACCTTTCTTGAAAAAAAAATTCTATTTGCATGGGAATAAAGAAAAAAAACAGTTTCTTATCAATGGTTTCACACTTTGAACTTTGAAACAGAGGTTTTGGGCAATTAGGAAATTGCCTTAAATTTCATTCTTGGAACGAATGCCAATACCAAGGAGAAATTGGAAACAATTCTCACGCAAAATTTTGGGGAGTAAACAAGGTGTATTATTGGTAAATGTAAAAACGGTCAATTTTTTGTGATACCTTGCGTTTAGAATTCTACACGTTATGTTTTTACTATGAGTGAAAGGAATAATGATCGCAAATATACTTCCTACATCTAAATGCTAAACTGAATAGCATTTCAGTTGCACCCTGTAAACCTCCTTCAGGTTGTGGAATTAAAAATAGTTTGGTTTGTTTGTTTCACGTATTAGCATTAGCCCTGTGTGTTCGTGACGTAAGTGTCACTATCTCTTCCTTAACTTTTTCTTTTGTGGGTTCCCTGTTGCGGTTTCATTGGTCTTGGCGTCTGCGGACGAGCAGTTGCAAGCGCTGCATACGAACCAGCTTCTGATCTCTCTGGCGACAAAGACATGTAGTTGCTTGGCTCAGGGGAAAATGGCCTGGTAATGCTCTCGTATTTAGTTGTCAATCCCATATAATGCCTTTCAGCTTGTCCTGGTTTGGTCCCATTGTCATAATGACTTTCGGTTGTTTGCCTCGCAGAGGAACATGGTGGTCCTGCCTTTGTGTTGCTGGTTTGAGGAACTGGTGGAAGAGGGCGAGAAGGGTTTTCGTAGATGAAAGATTTAGGACCCGGACTACCTGGACTTGGTACCATGTCTAGGTCGACTTCGTTTATTGACGCCTCGTCATCAGGTTTTCTTTCCGAGTCAGTGCAATACGCCCTGTTACTAAAAACAGCCCTCGAGTGGTTTGACTGATTGTTCTTCAGCCGACGGATTTTAAAGATCAGACAGCCAGTCACAGCAGCAAAGACAAACACAAGTACAACGGCAACTGACAGGCCCATGATGAAGTAAGTTTCAGGGACTGTTTTTTCGCTGGTTGAGGTAGATTGAGCTATGAAACATACGAACAACACCCGTGAATCCATTTTCCTCATTAGGTTCCTCAAAGTCAATTAATTTAATGTGTACCATTAAACATCTGCTGTCTTTTTTCTTTTCATTATTTATTATTAACACTTCATTATTTTCCGTAATGCATTTCAGTGGGGGATCTAGGGGAGGGGAGAAGCTGAGGCTTGCAGGGCAAATATAATATACTTTTGGTGTTTTAGAGCGTTTTGTTCACCTTTGAGGTGTAAGACTTGAGTAAATGTCGCAATACAAAGGATTCAAGGAAAGTAAACAATACCCGTATCACAGCATAATGGCTGACCAACACCAGGAAAATTGAAAAATCAATGTACTGGAGAAAATCTCACCATTCTTTCTGTTGCTGTCCTCTTGTGCATGTGATACGCAGGTAAAGTCAGTGTCGTTGTGATAACAAGAACTGTTCTCAGGGCATCGGTAGCTCTGACACGGGTTGCTGGCTTTGATGATACAAGATAGAAAAAAAAACAAAAAAAGGAACTCCCATGATCTTTTTACAAAGTGTTACTCATTACATATAAGTAAAAAAAAAAAAAGAAAAGAAAAAAAAAGGAACACGCCATGATCTTTGTACAAAGTGTTACTAATTACATATAGGCAATAGAAAGGATGCAAGGACAGTAAAGAATACCCGTATCACAGCATAATGACTGACTAACACCAGGAAAATTGAAAAATCACTGTAGTGGAGAAAATCTCACCATTCTTTGTGTTGCTGTCCTCTTGTGCATGTGATACGCAGGTAAAGTGAGTGTCATTGTGATAACAAGAACTGTCCTCAGGGCATCGGTTGCTCTGACACGGGTTGCTGGCTTTGATGATACAAGATAGAAAAAGAAAAAAAAAGAAAAAAAAAGGAATGCGCCATAACCTTTGTACAAAGTGTTACTCATTACATATAGGTAACTGTTAAGATCCCAACTGTGAAGCAAAGGCTTGATAGACTCGTCAGCGGCATAGCCGTGACAGGCGAATTGTGGTGCTCGCTTTTTAAAACTCTAGCTGAATAAAGCCTGCAATGTTCATCTAAAGATTTAGTTTTTGCCCGAAACTAGGGCCGTTACAGTGAAGTACAAGTTTAGTTTTAGCTAGATTATTAAAATTAGGGCAAAAAGCACTTCTCATGTTTTCCAAGGGATAATACATTTGTCAAACTACATAGGCTTAAGAACGGCCACACATGGTTATCTTTTCCACTGAAAATCATAATGATTTGAATGTTTGTCTGAATTCTGGACAGAAATCTCAAACTTACAACTTACCCACAACTAGTCTTTCTTTGCAGTGTTGTCCTGTAAGTCCTTTTGGGCATGTGCAAAGATACGAAAAGCCATCGCTAAAACAGCGCCCTCCATTTTGACACGGTAAAGACGTGCACTGGCTTAGTGTTCCTGAAACATTTGATAGACACTAGTGAATTTCTTTCTGAGTACCGTTTGCTTTTCTTTTTTCTAAGGCAAAGCCTAGCTGCTGTAATCTAGTTCCATTCTGAACCTGAAGAATGATGTGCGTGTGTCCCTCTGCAACATACTTTCCTGGCTTGCCATGCACAATTGACAAAAAGTCAGGGCCCCATCCGATTCACACCGGTTCTTAAACTACCAGTGTTCTTAGTTGCTGGTAATAGTACTTTGAAAACACCATGTAAAACTAGCATTTAAGACATATCAAAATGATATAAATTTAAAGCTAATGACTCTATGTTGCCTACAAGGCAAGGGAAATGTTTTTTTTTCTATCTAATGTAACTGACAAACTATTTTTTCTTTTTTTAATAGCGACCAGTGTTTTTTGTCTATTTTTGTCTATTTCAGGATACTTGGTGGGATAGGCAGTCTTTCGGAACATTATTTTTCGAAGTTCTAGGGACAGTGATTCGGGACAAACAACGAAGTAACAAAATGCAATTAGAAAAAAAAATTATTTTGGTGGTTTTCACTGTCACGCCATCAAAAACTAAAATCAAAACCGTGGAATGCCTGAAGCTAAGAATTTCAGATATTATAGAATATCGATAAATTAACAACCTGGCCTAGTCTAACGTCTGTGCAGGTTTCCTCTGCTGAGTTGTTCTTCAAAACATGTAACAGAAATTTATACTGTTTATAGGGCTCACTATGGGGACGCCATATTTGTGCTCCTCCGAGGAGCTCAAATATGGCGGCCGGAAATAATGCAAACATCTTATCTTATCTTATCTAAAATTATCTTTTAGCGTGTGTGACGGCCTTCTCGGTCGCCATATTAGGGACCTTACGAAACTACGACGGTGACCGGCGACGAGAACCTAAAAAAAGCAATAGTTTAATTTGCAAAACAACAACTCTGCACGTGCCTCACGCTTTTTGGCACATTTCTTTGTTGTCCCTGCTCAAATACGACGTGAAATGGCCAAATTTTAAGTTTACTTGAGAACAGGAACGGCAAGGCGATAAATTCTACCATTTTTGTCTGAATTCGGGCGCGGTCCCTTCTCTTCAGCTCCAATCAAAATTCACTTCTTTTTAATAACAGGGCGAATTGGGATAATCGCCAAAAAGTTTAAAAGGATGCGAAGTCTATTTTTCAGCGACGTTTTCATGGACGTTGCCGGTGACGGATCTTAGGCTACACGCAAACGGACGCAACAAGTCCCAACATTGTTGCGCCAACAATTGTTGAGAGTTGTTGCGCGCATGTTGGCAGTGGTGTGCAAACGGATGCAACAACTCCCAACAATGTTGGGATCTGCAGTTCATCGTGGGAAGCATACAACCCGTAAGTCTTTGTAATCCATGCGTAATGAGCGTGCGTGGCCCCAACAATGTTGGAAGAGCTGTGCAAACTGATCCAACACTGTTGCGCTACGCTTCAGCGATCAAGGAACAAAAGAAATGTTGGGAGTTGTTGGCTGAAAAGTTTGACTGGTTTCAAACACGCAACAACATCCAAAAACATGCAACAGGGTGTGCAACGGACGAAACATGTAACATCCAACAATGTTGCGTCCGTTTGCACGGGGCTTTAAGGCCCCTATTAATGTTACTCGGAGTAAACTTGGAAAATTAGAAAGAGCTATATTTTAAAAACGGAAAACGCTATCACGTTGACAACTTGTACAGAAACTTATTTTTAAAAGATCTTTTGCTAGATGGAGCTAAAACCTTAAAAGTCCTTGCGATTTTTTTGACATCACTTGAAAACCAATAGCCTGCGAACGGCAGATGTTTCTCCTCGCTCATCGCCACTGAGGGACGTTTCGGGAGGAGGAACGTCTGCGACTCAGCAACAGAAATTCCATACTGATGACGCAAAATCTGTCTGAAATCCGGTCAGAAGCGCTAATTGGTCGACGGAGTAGTTTCATTGTCCTAGCTATTGTTTACGAATGACAGACAAAAGACAAAAGGCGGTTAAGGTCAAATGGAAACGCGATGAATCTCTTACAAAACAGTCAATATTTGTGGAATATAGTCTTCTCTAGAAGAAGCATTTGAGTTTTGCTGGAGCTCACTCGCAGATGAACACAACACTTTTCCAAAATCAACCAGGAGAAACGTAAAATTGAACAAATTTGCATTGGGAACCCCATGACTACCGGATTTATTAAGTAACCACTGTCTTACGTCATCAGTATGGAATTTCTGTCGCTGATTCCCAGGCATTCCTCTTCGCGAAAAGTCCCTGAGCGGCGACGAGTGAGGAGAAACGTCTGCCGTTCGCAGGCTAGAAAACCAATGGACGCGATCCATTCAACCAAAATTCTAACCGGAAATTTTGGTTGAATAGAGAGGAGAAGTGTGACGTCACGTTACCATGGTAGCACTATTTCTGGATGACATCAAAACCAACGACGACGGCGACGGCGACGGCAAGGAGAACGGCAAAAAATAATATGTTTATATTAACAAACTACCACTTTGCACGTGCATCACGCTATTTTGTACATTTCTTTGCCGCCGTTGCACCACTATGACACTGGAAACTTCCTAATTGCACGAGCCCGCTTTATGGAGTAGGTGAACAAAACACAAAAGTTGTCGCTTTCTTGTTTTAAACTTAGATAACGATAGACACGGTCCCAAAGAAAATTTTGCCAAATTAAATGAAATTGAATAAGATCGGTGCAGTTTGAAATAGTGCGAAAAGACTTTTAAGTGACTTCATCGCTTTGTTGTCACCCCCAAAGTTTGCTACCATGGCAACGTGACGTAACGGCTTCTCTCTATTGATCGCGTCCCTTAAGAATACAAATAAATGAGATGATTTTTGATTTTGCACGGGCTGGTGCTGGGTGTAAAAGGATTAAAGACGTGTCGTACAAAACATTGCGATTAAGCCTTGTAAACCAGGACCGGATTGTTCAAAGGGTTAGTGCGAAATTTGATTTTATGAAAGCTTGAGAAGCAAATTCAGTTTTATTGTTTCTGCCAACAATTTGATGATTGGATGCTCTAAAAAGAAGAGAGGAAATTACCCGGGAAAATACTTTAGACCAAAAGAAAAAGAAACTCGGGTTAAATTTTAACCCTGGGTTGGCGCTAATCGAGCAAACCTAACTGAGTACATACCACTTATTACAAATTAAAACTGTAATTTACCCTTGTTTTTACTTACTTATTTCACAACTTGGACCTGTGAATCCTTCTGAACAGTTGCATATAGGACCAAATGAGGTGTTTATGCATGTCCCATTGCTTGAACACTTCATAGTAGAGCAATTTTCAGATGACGCTTTGTGTAAGTGCATAAATATGTTAATTAAAGAAAAAGCAATCTGAGAAAAGTGACAAAATAACCACGAGCACATAAATGCTTAGAAATTTAGGCTTAAATTAACTTTAAAATTCCAAATTCTCCCAATGAGATTAGGAAAGTTTTTCTCGCTGGGAAGTATAGCCTCCCCGCAGACGTCCTTTGGGGTTCGTTTGTCACGCATTCATTTCTCCCCCACGGACGTCTGCTAAACCCAGCCGACTTTTACGTTCACCAATCACAGGCCGTTTACGGATTTTTGTAAAACGTAACCCGAGCCGCTTTTTAAGATTCGCACGATCGGTGAGGCTTTTGATCGAGTGTGCGAGATATTTGTAATTAATACAGAGTTAAACAAGTATCAGAGGGAAGCTATCCTGCAAATTTTATAGCGAAGACCGATGAGTTCATAAATTTGCCGACGGGATTTGGCAAATCCCTTATCTATCAAGCTTTGCTGCTTGTTTGCGACACAGTGCGTGGAACTACTGGACATTATTGTTGTTGTTGTTTCTTCCCTGGTAAATCTTGAAAGATCAATCTACAAAGCTGGAAAATATTGGTATTCCTGCTGTAACGCTCAGTGATATTAGCAAAGAGAATATGAGGGTTGTCGAGAGAGGGACTTTCTCTGTTGTTTACGCAAGCCCAGAAGCTTGGTTCTCAAACTCATTAATAATTCATTAAGAAAATACAAAGGAAATTAATGTTTAATGAGTGTTTGGAAATCGGATGAAACACTGCTTAGTATTTGCATCCTTAATTTCTCCTTCAAAAATGATTTTGTTTGAGAAGAAATATCAAACATTCAACACAGTGTTTCATCACCAGATGAAACACCTCGAAGTTCGTCAAAAATACTCCGCTGCGCGTCGTATTTTCAACTCTCTTCTCGGTGTTTCATCTGGTAATGAAACACTGCATCTCATGTTTGATATATTACTTGAAGATCGATCGGCGGAGGAAATGTTAGCGAGTGACTTGTACAGTTAGTATGTGGTCCTTGGTCGGCGACTTTCCCGAGCATGATTAAATATTTCGTCGAGAAATAAAATACAATGAACAATAAAAGGTTCAATGATTTATTGATTATAAGCATTCTTTCTTTCTTTGAAGGAGCGAGATTAAAGTTTGTTGACAGGTAGGTTAATTTGTCGTTCTAGCTTGAAGTTTGGACTTCGGCGGCACCGTGGTCATGTTTACTAAGCTTGTGAATAAATAAAACGCAACGGGAGGACGTGCCTTTTTGCAGAACAAGTTTTCAGATAAACCTTTTTCTGCCGTTGGAAGTACATTGCTGTAGACTTCGAATTTTTTGTTTTACCGACTCTTGAAAAAATATAACCAAATTTTGCGTACTGGTCCTTGGTCCGCGACCCATGACCTTGGTGGAATTACATTTCGCAAAAAAGGAAACGGCCTTTGTTTTCGAAGAATGCTTTGAATATCTTCCGTATACACGTTTACAAGTTCTCTTTTCTTACATTGTAATACTTCGAATATATGCAGAGGTAATAGTAATTATTGGTTTCGACCGCGCTGAAAACCGATCCGCGCTCGTGTGGGAGACTGTTGTCTGAAGTCTTTCAAAGAAAAGCAGATTATTTTATAGCCACAACTTCCGAAAAAAATATGCAGCTGACTGCAGCTTTATTGCATCGTTTCTGTGATTTTTTCAAAACGTTTGAGTCGTCTCAGGTAGAAGATAGCGGTGCAAATAAATAATTCACTTGAGAATACAAAGACATCACTTATATCACAGCGCGTGATTGGCTGATCGTGACACAATAACTAACCGCTTATTGGCTTATTCAAACAATCCAGAACGTAAAAGTCGGCTGTGTTTAGCAGACGTCCGTGGGGGAGAAATGAATGCGTGACAAACGAACCCCAAAGGACGTCTGCGGGGAGGCTATGGGAAGTATTCATGCAAAACAATCAGTTAACAAGTAAAGAAGCCTTGCCTGTGCTTTAAGCGGTTGTAAAGCACTTATGCACCTATCAATGATTTGCCCCAGGATGGTGGCCGGAGGCGGGCAACCCACGGAAATTTTGACATTTTCAGTTTTCAACTGTCAATTTCCCCACCCTTTGGGTCTCCATTTTGAGTCATAATCACATCCCTGGGGGAACTAATAGGCACTCATCACAACAGTCTTTATTGCAGCACTGAGCGTCCGCAGAGAGTCATTACTTGGAGACAAAATAACGGTACCCACAAACTTTGTGTTTTTCCCCACTGAGTGTAGAAGACAAATTCTTGCTGGATATTTAGCGTGGATTAACACCCATGCTATACTCCCTAAAGTACCTTTGAATTGTTTCACACAATGTTTATACAGCAATGCAAAATGTGCAATGTCAGAACATGACATGCCATCATCAAGAAGGGTTAATGTCTAATGTAAAGGCTGGTGTTTTGTACCTCTGGTCCAGAATTTCATTTAATTGGACATTTTGAGTATATACTAGCAAATCTAACACAGAATTCCAGGAATCTTTCATGTTTTTAAGTATGATTTTTTGATCTTTCACTTTATCAAAAACTTGTGGCAGGGCACGCCAGCATGTGGTGAAAAAATGTAAGTATATAGAAAGCATATTTTCAAAACGAGACTTTGCGGCAAGTATTGGTTCTCAATGCTGAGGGACAAAATACTTTTTTGTCATAAAACTTCAAAACTTGAAAAGCAAGTTTCGTTCTGCCGTCCTTCACAAAGAAATGAACACACCAAAATGTGGGAAACTCATCCAATAGCTATGGGGTATTAATGGATATTTTCTAAGTTGGCGGACCTCTTATCAGTCTTATCACTCATTCCCTGGTCCTCCACTTTCCAAGGTGGCGGCTGAGTCAAATTTCCCACCTTGGGGACATGAGGATGTCAAATTCCCTACCCACGTGCGCTTCACTACGTCTAATTTCCGTGGGTTGCCCCCCCCCCCCCCCCCCCCCCCCCCGCCAACAACCTGTAAGGTGCGTAGAAGGCCGCGAGGCGGCGAAACAAAAAGGAAAGAAAAAAAAACCGCAGGGTGGGGTGCTTTTCTCTCTTTTCGCGCGACCCCCCCTCCCGCCTCCTACACACCAAACAAAAGAAGAACAACGTACAACAGGCTTTTTTTTTTTTTTTGAGTAAAAAAACTCCCCCCCCCCCCCCCCCCATCCTTGGGCAAACCATTGATAGGTGCATTAGGAAGCGGCTAGAGCACGAAAGAAGTCGTAAGGAAAACACGAGACGTAGTTGAGTGTTTCTCCCTGAGTTCTGTAGCCGCTTCCTGAGCGCTTTACAACAGAACAAAACGGAGTACAGTCTTGAAAGGCTTCTTTATTTGTTTTATGATAAAGAAGCCGTTAAATTCCTCACGCATTAATTTTTTATTAAAGTTTCAAACAAAACTATTGGCAGATGGCGTGAAAGCTTTAGCTTCATGTTAATTTTATACTCTAAACTGATGCACACCTTTTCAAACTATCAGAGTGCAAGTTCTATCTGAACTTTATTATAAATAGATTTAGCGAAGTTTGAAAGTAAAACTCCTAAGCTGTTGACAATAAAACTTAAAACTCTGACAATAAACTTTAAAAACTTGCATGAAATGATTCACAAATCTACTTTTAATCCAAACTTTCCGGCAATAGTCTATTTCCGAGTTCCCCCGGGCCTCTGTTTCAAAACGAGGGTAGGTGCTCAGCCTTTGATATGGAAATCATTTTTTATTCACATGCAAATAAAACTCATTTTCACAAGAAAGGTTGTGCACCTAGCCTCATTTTGAAAGTGAGGGTTTTTGGAACTCAGAAGCGGCCTATTGACTATAAGAACAAACTGTCTGACCACTTTGCAGGTTGTAAAGCATGGCGTGCGAAGGCTGATGGAAACGGAAGCATGTATGGCGGATAATTTCAGACGTTGGCCTTTCAAAAAGACGGACATATCATTTAGAGTCAATTGTATTTTTCAGTAAATTTAGAAAACGCTTTGGTTATATGCCTGGCAGCCGGGAAGGGTCTTAAACAAACTAAATACCCACAGTCAGAAAATTTTCAGGGAAAAGCGCCCTGGGGACGAGGTTGGCCATAACACAACGATCAGTTGAGCAGTTGTGATTTTTGGGCATTCACATCATTCTCATCATACACCTTGTCTACCCCCCAAAATATTGCATAACCTAAGTTTTTCATTTCTCTGATCTGGGGTTACAGTCGTTCCAGGAAAATTGAAGACAATGGTAGCTAATGTTTTGCAAATTTGTTGCTACTCGCCAATGTCGGTGTTATTCCAAAACAAAAACAACTAAGTACTGTCTAAAACACGAAGGAAAATCTCATCCATGTCATCCATGGCAAAACTAAAAGACAGCAGATCGTGTTTCATAACTAGATGACGTGTGTTTTATAAATGCGTGCAGCTCGTGCAAGGTGAAATTATGCTAATTTCAATCACCATCATCCTTCTTTTTAATTTTGAAAAAAACATCTTATACGTCTTTCTGTTTCTTAAAAACTTCAAAATTAGTTTCCCCTCAGTTTTTACTGTTTACCTTGGTTTATTTTAGAGAGAAAAACGGAGAAAAACCTTACAACTAACCTCAATAAATTTTGTTTATATGCGGTTGCCGGATTTGCAACGCATTGCGCGAATCGCCATGGCGCGTTGCACTCGAGAAGCAAAGTTTGAAGAAGTACAACGCCACTATATCAATACATATCAATCTAATGTTTTGTTATGTTGTATAAAATTTATTCCCCTTTAACATATGTAAAAATTCAGGTTAAGAAGTGATAAAGCTTTTGCAAACGAAACGGCGATAAGGACGATTAGGTGATATTTAGTGGAAGGAGGAGGTATTCAACACTTTCAAATTAAACTCCAATTTTTGGCACTTATAGACGTACAGACACAAACATATGAAACTTTTTATTGATATTGTTATGAAACAAATTTATCTATTTAACATTGTAGCCTGAAATTACAGAAAGAAAATAGGATTTCCGGTTTGCAAAAAGGAAAATTTTGCCGGCCTTCAAGCGCACCGGAAGCGCGGAAAGAGCGCTCGTGCTAGTCCTACTCCGTATCACACATAAAATGAAGAGCGGAGCGCTCGTTTCACCGCCCAACCTTTATCCGCCCTGGCGAATAGAGTGAAGTCGACGCTGTTTTGACCTTTGGAAAAATTTCGTGTGTCAGCCCGTGATTGACGTCTCACAGGGACGTTTTCAAACAGGCTAAACACCCTGCAAACTAAGTTAAATCACGGCTAGCAATTCTACGCCAGCAAAATGATCTAGAAACAAAGTCGGCCAATTTGATCGTAATAACAGGAATAGCATGAGGTTCTTCGCACAAAATGGTTAGACCATCCGGACTGACTTCTGGACTTTAGCAGTAACCGAGAATCTGTTCTCGCGAACCGTCAAAATAGCTCTTTTATATAGTCTCACAAAATTGGTTGGCAACTTTATCACATGTAAAACCGTTTATTGAACCCTTTTTAACCGGTAATTGACAGCTCTGAAGGATTATAGAATAATCCAGGTTAGAGAATGAGGTAAGGGAAAGGGATTTTGTACTGAATTCGACTAAATCTTCTGACTGTAGGGCAATCAGTGTACCCTTTACTACCTGCCACGGCTTTTTGAAAATGCTCATCTGAGGATAACTTTCAATCAGTGTCATCAAACATAAAAAAATATTGTTCACTTCTATACTAATCTCACCTGGCTGGGGTTTGGATTTACACAGGACCGTTGCCACTGACGAGTAGTCGCCATTCGGATACCCCAGGGTATCTTTTGAACATTCTTCAAAACTGGATTCATTCCCCAGACATCTCACGTTTTGAAACCACGACGGACCATTTCCGATCCCAAACTGATTGCTGCTTCCAAATGATAGAGCTCCAGGGTACCCCAGCTGGCGACACACCACGTGAGCAGCATCCCAATTCCAGCCACCGCTTATCGTTCCCCACACACCAGCATACAATACTTCTACTCGCCCAGCATTGGATATCGGTGCACCAGCCAACCTCACATTTAAAACTTTTAAAAGCAAGAAATATGTGAGTTCTTTCGTTGGAGAGAACGTTTATTTAAATTCGGAGTTTTGCTTCCATCGCAAAAGTTTCGTCAGCAAAATTAGGATTTCTTTCGGAAGAAAGGAATTAAGAATCGAAAAAAAAAAACGTTGAAACATCTCAACTGATTTGTTATTCCTTTTTCAAATTGAGGGTAGTTAGTCATCACTTACGAATTATGGTTCGTGGTCAAAGACACTCCTGGCCAGTCTCTAACTCCTTCCCTTTTCCCACTTCCTTCCTGTAGCCTGAAAATATTTACTCGCTGGTCGGTTTGAATACACCAATCTGTTATGGTCTTTTGTAATACGGCATTCGTCGCCTTTTACTTATTATATTATTATGTTACACTTAATTTTGCATTATTTTATCAATGACATCTATTTTACTTCTTAATAAAATCTTTTTTTTAGTGACAAATTTGAGAAATTACATGACCAAATTAAATGGCAGATTTTTGGTTGAATTTTCAACAGTGGTGGTTCTCTCTGCATTTTATAACTTGTAGAGTTTTTATTTCCTAAGAATCGTTTTATACATGGATCAGATTCTCTATCACAATTACCTCGATTTATTTTTTAGTAAATCACTATAATTAATTCAAAATGGCGGATCCAAGATGGCGGATGGTTGCAGATTCTTCTTTAATAATAGATGACGTCATCATGACAACACTGCTATCGTTACTAAAGACTATTTATGTGTTAGCCAACTTCTTGATTTTATCAGACACCTTACTATTTCATACAATGATAATACGCGCGCAGTGATTGGTCGTTGCGCATGATCTATCGGAGGACAGATACATGAATGACGTCCCGGAAAACTCTTTTTGACTGTTTTGCTCAACATGGTGCGTGGTTTTGAAAATGTTTGTGAGATTATTTCGGATAAAAGCAAGTGAAAGCTTAAAAAAAACTTAGCACCGGAGCTATTTACAAAGACGAAAAATGGAAAAGCAGAGACAGAAAGAGCCCTTGACAACTTGAGAATGCCAAAACTACAAGAAATCTTCGCAACAGTTGCCATTGTGTGTTATCGCTACGAGACTCGCTGTTCTGCAAAAATATTTTAGTCATTATTCTGCTTTGAGCAAGAAAAGACGTTGAACATTTTTGCAAAGAAACTGTATACAAGTAAGATAAAGAAAAAGAGAAGAAGCAGAAACATGGCATTTGGGACATTAATACTGCCTAAACTAGCATAGCCTGATACAAACCTTCTACGAAACGTCTTCCGCCCACTTTTTTGATTGATTGACATTTGCCGAATCAGCCAGCCAAAACTACTTCCGTTGCTTGTTTTTTTAGTATGCAAATTTTTCATGCGTGGGAAAAATGCAGACTCGCTGTGTTGAAAAATAGCTTTTATCTTTTATTTTTTTCAACTAAAAAAAAAATCAGCACAATCACATTTAACTTCTTGCGAGATTAAAGGAGATCTTGGAGGTTATTTCTGTTGGCGTAGAAGGTAAAAAGTTTTCGAAAAGACGGCAACACGATGTTTTAGTTTTAAATTTTGGCTGGGCGCGCTCGAATTAAAAATACTGAAATATCTATTTGTCTGTTGCCTTAATATTTTCCTCGGCAATTTCCCCCGATTTTCAGTGCATAAATATTTAAAAATCGTGGAGAAAAATATCGCAAACTCTTTCACAGGGTATATAAATTATATTAGAACAAACCAAACGAGTTCTCAAGTGCATTTAATCTTGCTGATTTAGTCCCGTGCCAAGGGACTTGGTCTTGGCCTTGGTCCCGTGCGTACACTTGCAATTTGCGAATTTACTAGAAAAACAAACGTCTAAAACAATAATTTTTTTATAAATATCTGCCACTTTGGGAAAACGAACGGACACTTCTAAAACTGCATGCTCAACTGACCTATAAACAAAACGAAAAACAATATTACAAACACACTTTGTAGTTCTTCTTAGTTGTGTTGTTGTTTTACTGCAGGTCCGAAAAACTTGGCTCGCTAAATTTATTAATCGCAATTAACAAACAGCAAACAGCCAAACGAGCGAGGACAAAAGTTTTCCTGGTTGGTTTTTACAAAACTCGAAGGCAAACAAGAAGTCTGTTACCTTAACACTAGCGCCACCAGCTTTTATGATAATGCCTACAAAAATTACTGGAACAGCGATACGATGTTTTTCGTCTAATACTTCACAGTTGGCGATTGAAGTTTCTTTTGTACTGAGCCTCCGCTTGCCTACCCCGTTCCTGGCTAAACTTTCAAATGAAACCACTTTTAAGGTGGACAGCATTTTGATCTGCACTCCAGTTGGTTGGTAAATCGAAAAGCACCTTTTTAGCGGTCAACAACTTGCAGAGGGATTCAACTCCGCGATACAATCACATTAGTTCCGTAAATAAAGCAAATCCAAAGAAGAAATGAACAACCATATGAATTTTCTGAATTTCCATGGTAAATATTAAGGCATATTTTCCTACCATAAGACCATAAAACAATAATAAAGACAGCAAAATAGACCTTTCTCTCCGCCGACGGCGGATCATTCACGAAAAAAAAAACCACGCAAGGAATAAACACTTTCAACTTCCGGCGTTTCCGATAGCCAATCAGATCTTGTGGCATTGTTCTAACAGCCAATCAGGGTTACGGCCAAAACCTGACCGTAACGAGCACAAACGTGAGAGTGTTTGTATCAGGCCCAATTTTAGCGGTAGCCGTTAGAGAGAATGTATGAGAACCGCTAAAATATGGCCTGATCTCAGGTTAAAACTAGCACAAGTCCTCAATCATTGTATAAAACAAAAAGATTCCATGTTGCCGTGGGTCTGTTCAGTAATAGATCACAGAAGACGTCAAAATGCGGTAAAAACATCAGTGACACACTCGCCTGCGGCTCGTGTGCCACTTGTTTGTTTTTTTTAAACACATTTTGACGTCATCTGTGATCTGTAACTGAACAGACGCACGGCAACATGGAATCTATTTGTTAAATACAACTATCCCCCGAAGGGGAGGTGAATAGTGGTGGATATATATATAGCGCTATGAACCGACCCTGAGGGGGATCGTTGTTTTAGTATTTATCAAATTAGTTGGATAAAAATCAAAAAGGAACTTTTTGTAAATAAAAGACATCACTTTGTTAGAGTTTGTTTACGTTTCAATTGAAAGTTTTTCGGGGATAATTTTTTATGTTTTTGTTGCAAATTCAGTGAGAAAATTTTTTTTCTACCTACTAGTAAGCACCGACAAGCCAATTTTGTCTCTTTCTTGGTGTTTGTTGTCGAAGCTGCTTCATTTACCTCTAAAATTTCATTTAATTTCAATTGCGGTGGCGTTATCGTGAGTACATTGTAGTTTTGAAGCAGGTTGTAGAGGTGGGCCTCCGAAGCCCCCTTCGGTCGCAGGAAGCAAAGCCCAGTTTTTTTATAGAGTTAACATTTTTTCGGAAAATGCTCAGAGACAGGTAAAATTGTATTTTTTTCGTGGGGAGGAGGCAAGGAATTATTTTCTATCCCCTATTACAACAGCACGGAAAAGAAGGTTGTTTTCTCAACAATTTACAAAGTATACTATTTACAGCAGTCCTGCCCACAGATCTCCTATTATAAGGAATAGGAAAATCTGGTGGCCAAAAGGATGAACCATAGTTTCCGAGACACTGAAATACCAAAGGGAGAGAGACACCCGCGGACACCCAACCTCAAAACAACCGCCAAACCTGAGACCTCAAAACTACACTTTGAAAGGCACAGAATTAGATGAAAGAAACTGTAAAACAACTAGGACTAAAACTTTTAAAGTAAAGCAAATGTATGAAGTAGGACAGAGTACCAACGCCACATTAAAAGCAGCAAAAAAGGCCAGTTCGAGAGAAAAAACATAACTTAATGCTGGCAAAGAAAGACAACCCAGAACGCAAACAAGTAAAGCCCATCGGGCTAGCAGGAAAAAAATAAACAATAAACACAAAATTAACGATCACCGCAAACAGTATAAACACATCAGCTTTCGTATACTGGGAATAAAAACACATGGCCAGCAGGAAATAAATAAACACATCGGACGGCCGCAAACAATAGTCCAAAACAACAAAAAAAAAATGAGGTAAAAAAAATGGCCAATTAAGAGCGGATGTCAGTAAATATCGACCAGAGGTCTACAAAAGTGAAAAATCGAAAATTCTCAAAAAAATTCACAAAGTAGCACTAGGTAAGCTATTAACAGAAATGTAATTTTTACTTGGATCCGATAATTATTTTCCACGTACGGGGGGGTTATTGGTTTCGCGGCTCTCGGACCGGGTTTTCCAGGCCCGAGAGCATGTGTCACAAAAAAATCGTTTTAAAATTCAAATCCATTGTAATGCGGACAACAAATAACTTATTCAGAAGAGTACATAATTGCACACATTTTAAGTGGTGATTTACTCAGTTTAAACGAAAGTGTAATATTTTGGAGATTTTTCATTATTTGCAATATTTTGAACGTTTTCGTTCAATGAAAAAATGGCAAATTTCAAAGCCCAAAATCGTCGACTGGTACCTCGATTTCAGTAACGAGTCTTATACCACATTAAAGAGCGTTATCTCTTCTTTTAAAATCTGTTTTCAAAGCTATGGGCAACTTAAAAGAAAATTTTTGAGGCCAAAAGATACAAGTAGTACTTTTCTGAAACTTGAGCTTTCCAGACTCAGCGGGCCGATGCTAAAAACTCAGAAAAATGCAATAAGAAATCAGTTTGAGCAACAGTGGTTTAACGTTATCAGCTATCAGAAACCAACACGTGTTCATCGAGCGATCTGATAAAATTTAAAGCCGTTTTCCAACAAGAAAAGCAGGGTTTAGCCATCATCTGCTACCAAACGCACGAGTCACGCAAGGTTGTCAAAGGGCAAAGCACAATAATAAACTTCAAAAAACACAGCGTTTCTGCGTCCAGGAATTAGACTTTAGCGGACAGATGATGTCTACGAGTGTAATTCATACCTTAACATGGGTTTCCTAGCTATTGGAAATAAAAAACATCAAGGACAGCATCGGCAAGAGCATCTTCGGCTGCTCTCAAAGGAACGACGGAGATTGCGTTACTTTTCACAGATTGACCGCTTACCTCCTGTTTTTGGGCTCGCATTTCGACGGAACGCTTGCCTCGAGACGGGCGTTACGAAATACATCAAATGTATGGCGAGACGTTGAACTGAATTTATCGGAAATATGCCACCACCACAAACAACACGAGATTTTTTTCGGGTATTTGTCGTTTTTTATACGAAAAGTTCGTAAAGATTCACGCAAAAACCATTTGGCTTAAAAAATGTGTTTGAAAGCCCACCCTGGATTTGAAGCAAAAAGTATTTCCTCGAAATAAGCTAAAAAAAATACCCAATTCACGCGGTGAAAAAATGGATGATTATGGAAGGATTATCGAATTCTTGCCTAACCTGAGGGTTTTCTCAATTTCCCGTGATGTAGGATTAGGGGTAGGAAAAAAGCCCATAACCTGCTCCTCAGCAACACTTAAAGGAGTTCTAGTTTTTAAAGTCATTCTTGGCTTTTTTTGTCGAATTTCCTCCACGTGTGTGGAACTGGATCGGTCCCTTTTCCGGCTTCTGATTGAGCTAAACTGTCATTGATGCACGGTACAATTAGTTAGACCTGTTACTATCCCTCGCCCAACCACAGGAACAAGTCCAGCCATTTGGGCCCGGGGGTAGGGAGTACTTTGAAGCGGTCCAGTCGGGGACTTTCGGGGGTAGGGGGCGGGGCAAATCGAAAATAACTTCTCTTTGTTTTTGTGAAGTACATCATTTCTCGCACGGTTGACAAGGTGACGGCGGACTCCTTAGCTGTGGAAAGGCCCCTTTGAAACATGTCCCGGCAACATGCAGGGCATCACGGAATTGACGTCAACACCTTGAATCAACTCCATGAACAGGGAGAGGCGATAAGTCCCATCTTAACAGATGCTTGATGTCTAGACGTGAATAGTCTGTCCGCAGTCATTTTTCATTTTGTATATCGGGACCATTTGACAGCGCACGAGTGAACCGGAGTGCAGTAACGAGCCCTAACCCCAGCCCTTTGCCCTTGCCGTCAATAAATCATGGCGTTTTTCATTTTTTTTTATACGTGTTCGAGAACCTCCAAAGGGAATATTGAGGGTCTTTGTACAGTTTCAGTTTATTTTACCGACAAAAAAGAACAAAACAAAGCAAAAGACAAGTATACAGAAATACGCAGAAGCAATGTGGGGAGGAAGCCCAAAAGGAAACCATAAGGCTTAAGTCAAGGCCCCTTTTCGTTCGTTTAGCGTCGAATAGGTTTCCCGGGTTTGGGTCGGTCGGTGGGGTGAAAAAAAATCACAAGAAATCTGAGAACAGGAGGCCTGAAACACCAGCATCATTGCCGTGGAGCCTGAAAACAACAAGACATGGTTACCAAATCGACACAAACTCAATATGGCGGAAAATGTGATGGTCAATTTCATAAAAAGAAGGGCCAAAAAGGGTAAAAAGCAAAAAGGATACACCACTGAACGTTTTATGCCTGGAAATGCTGTTATAATGCTCATTTTTAGATTAAAAGAATTAATTTAAGTCCAAAAAAAAAATAAAGCTTGTCGTTTCTTTTTCTTGCTTTTTTAAAAAATGCCAAAAAACTGGGTCTGTTGGACGACACTAAACGAATAAAAAAAAAATAAAAGGTATTAAGCTCCCTTAAAGTATAAAAGTATAAGTTTACAAGGACAGGACCGAACGTATACTGAGTAACAAAATGATAAAAATTTGATCAAAATTAAATGAAAGGCTAAGAGTCTAAGCGCTGTCTGATAACGAAATGGTAAACAAGAAGTGCTGCCTGTCATTTAACAGAGACGTGGAATACGGGGTGGACCACATCCTAAACTTCTGCGAAAACCGGAAGAGAGGAACGCTCAGGGCTAAGGAGACTAAACAGGGGCGTAGCTACTTGTACGCACGGTTCGCACGTGCGTACCCGAAAACGTTGAGGAGAAAAAATAGAATGAAATAAACATAACCAAAAAAATCTGTTTTCAGAGAAGCGACGACATTAATTGGAGAACCGAATCTTGGATGATTTATTTATATGGCAAGCTTGATGATGTAAAGCGTGAACGCGTTGTTTTCTCCACGACCTGTCTTCGGAGTAGACGAAGTAGGGCACAATTACCTCAATGTGTGGTGCTTTTGTCGGTCAAAAATGATGTGACAAAAAGGGGTTAAAAGAGTCATTTGTAAACTTAAGTCGGAGGTACTACAAGCTTGATTTTTAATAGCTGAATTAATGATAAACGGTTGACGTCAATGAACATAAAAAGCCGACAGAATTAAAGAATTTTAGAGGTTGTGTCATTTCATAAACAGCAAAAATGCTTTTACTTACAACCGTTAACCCCACCTTTAATAAAGGCACCTTAAAAAAATTTTGAGATTTGGGGTGGGGGGTGGGGGAGGGTAGGTTGACGATCCAAAAAAAGTTGGGCGTACCTCCGGAAAAATCCTGACTACGTACCTGCTAAAGCCTGAAACTGAACAACAGGAGTCTCGACGAAACTTCCTCAGTTATCATCTGTCCGGGGTCGTACTTTCAAGGAAGCGCTGATCAAGAATCACTCATAACGGAATGAAAACTCCTCGTAGCTTCCAGCGGAAAAAGGAGTGACAACAGTGGTAAGCGGTCGTTCTGTGAAATCTAACGCAATCTTTGCCGTTTACGATCTTTCGGCGCTTGGATTTAAAACGTTATTGTTTGGTATGTTCTCCCGTGTGGATACTTGACATTTCCAATATACGGAAACAGCATGCTAAGGTACGAACAACAGACATTCACAACATTGTTTTGTACGCTAAAATCTGATTTCATGGACGTAAAACGTTTTGAATTTTAAGACTTTTTAATATTAGTGCTTTGCACTCACTTTGACAACTTCACGTGACTGGTGCACTTGGCAGGAGTTGACAGCTTAAATCTGCCTTTCTTGATAGCAAACGGCATTAATTTACATAAGATCGCTGTATAAACACGTCTTGGTTTCTGAAAGATGATAACGTTAAAGGGACTGGTTCACGATAATGCGCATGTGTGAGTTCTGACAGTAGCTGATTGTTTTTCAACCAATCGGAAGCGAGTTAGATGCACGCAAGTAAATCTACAAAATTCAAATTAATTGTTCGCGACGCGAGAGTATTTCCGGGCATTTGGTTTGATTTTATTTATCCCCATAATTCAAGTTTATTCTTTGCTACTCCTCAGATATATGTTGCAGCCGATAAGAATAAGATTTACAGCCCTGTCCTGCTTTGAAACAAACCAACGTGTAATTTTACGAGGTCGTACCCACGCTAACAAAACAGTCACCGATCGGCAAACAAAATTTGTAAACAAACATCTTATTGCTGTTCTCTCAGTTCGCCTTATATAAACCCAGAAATACCTGTAAATAGCGCCTGACCGGTGACAAAAACACACAACGTATGAGTATAAAGATTATCCTTAATTGAGCATAAACTTCAATTGCTTATCAGCAAATGAACAAATTCATTCGCGTTGCATCGGGTCAGTGTTCCACAAAACAAATGTTATCGAGTAGCACACATAAAGAAAATAGATTATAAACAGAATATTCAGGCAATAATTTATTTTAAAAACATCAATCTTAAACATATACGATCGTAAAGCAAAGATACAAGGAACACTTCAAGTGTACCAGATCGGTGAAGATCGCGCGGCCTGTTGCGGTATAACTACAGGTCGGAGTCAAAAATCAAATCAAAGTTGAACGAACTCATGCCTTTAACCACTTTCCAAGTGTCGTGTATTATTTTCGTAAGCCACACACTACTCCTAGAACCATACCAGATCGATAGGCTAAGCTTCTCTATCTCCAGAGACTCTTGAGAACGTCCTGTTGCCGGACGGCCACGATGCTCTTCTGAACCTCCATGATCAAAACATTATTTTTTGCGTCTTCTTAAAACGTAACCAGTCAAACGACACAACCACACGTTAATCACCACTACCGAAGTATAACTAGACCAGCCAAAGCGACGGATGTCCGAATAAAACGAAGGATTTTCAATGATTGTACCGGTAATGGCGATTTCGAATTTAGTGTTGACCCGACAAATTTATTCTGAACAGACAAACGGCGCGCATGGGCATTATCGTGAACCAGTCCCTTTAAACCACTGTTGCTCAAACTGATTTCTTATTGCATTTTTCCGAGTTTTAAGCATCGGCCCGCCGAGTCTGGAAAGCTCAAATTTCAGAAAAGCACTACTTTTAGTTTTTGGCCTCAAAAATTTTCTTTTAAGTTGCCCATAGTTTTGAAAACAGATTTTAAAAGAAGAGATAACGCTCTTTAACGTGGTACAAGACTCGTTACTGAAATCGAGGTACCAGTCGACGATTTTGGGCTTTGAAATTTGCCATTTTTTCATTGAACGAAAACGTTCAAAATATTGCAAATAATGAAAAATCTCCAAAATATTACACTTTCGTTCAAACTGAGTAAATCACCACTTAAAATGTGTGCAATTATGTACTCTTCTGAATAAGTTATTTGTTGTCCTCATTACAATGGATTTGAATTTTAAAACGATTTTAAAAAAATTACATTTATGTTAATAGCTTACCTAGTGCTACTTTGTGAATTTTTTTGAGAATTTTCGATTTTTCACTTTTCTAGACCTCTGGTCGATATTTACTGACATCCGCTCTTAACTTCTGAATGGAGTTTGTGCCTCATGTAGTCGCTTGGGCAAGACCGCTGTAAATTGTACCTACCTTTTGAAAAGCTGGAATTTGCTTTATTACACAGCAAACTGGCTGCATATCTTGGTTGTTGAAAAATACTATCATACCAGTGATACGATGAGGTATTCCAGATTTTGTCCCAAGTTTCTACTTCGCACTGAGATATTTCTGTTTCGTTGCCATTACACTGCATTCTCCAAATCCACAATGGGCCAATCACACCCCCAAACAATGCGTAGCTAAAAATCCGTTCAGCTCTAGAATACCCTAATTGGCGGCAAACCACGTGACCTACACGAATGTCAACATTATGGCCTAGAATGCCACCCCAGACTCCATAATACAACACATTTATTGTGCCCGCAATAGAGAGGCTGGATCCATTCAAGCGAACTTCAAAGTCTGCAAAGAAATATGTGAAACTGAAACGTGCACATCAGAGGGTTTTGATCAACCCTATCGGGTCTGTATTTTGGTCCTTAGCAAATTGACCTTTCAAAGCACAAAGGTATTCTAATTTGCTGCTTTACTACCGCCTGTTAAAAAATGGCGTTGTCCAAGTATTCTGCGCGTTATAGGTACTTCGAGACCTTAATCACTTGCATTTCCACACTGTGTGCATTTTGGGCAAAATAAAGAATTAAGCAAATTTAATGCGACGTCAGCCGTGTGTCTGTACTCTCAATGATTAAAGGTAACCATCAATCAAAGCGTTGGTTCTAAATTTTTACGCTAATATCACCCGTCCTAAAAGACCCTCATAAACACACAGGCTACTTCTTATTTATTCAGAACTCTGATTTCTCCTTTTTTTGGCTAAAATCCTGCTGCTAATTCTTTATAACCAGCCGGCGCTTACTATAATTATATGGAAGATGTTACCCTGCGAACAGAGTCTCCTTCGATCTTCCTAGATAAGTCGGGAAGAGGAAGGAACCTGAGTCGCTTCCTCTTACCCGACTCATCTAGGAAAGATCAAAGCGACTCTGCTAGCAGGGTAGGAAGATGCAGGAAATCGATTATTTTGTGTGCTTCCCCAATATGCAAACCAACCTCGTTTCCAGGCAGCGGCGCGGCAGCTGTTTTAATGCATGAGTGAACACTAATTTCGGGAAACGTCATGTACTTTATGGCTACCCGAAGACGAAATAGCTGAATAACTGACTAAAACTAGACAAAACAAACGCAAGAACACGTAAAAAATATTGCTGTTTAGATGGCATGTACTTTTTTAGGAGTGTTTGTTAGCAAAAAAAAAAAATCTGTTGTGTTCATATATGCAACTTTACCGAGAAATAAGCGAATGTTTTGAAGAAACTCTCCAGGCGTAGTTAATCGATAAACCGATAAGCGATAACAATCGTTTCTTGAATCGATATCAACCATCGATGAATATCGATTTCCGAAATCAATCGATCGAAACCGATAAAGAAAAAAGTTGTGACTTCGATTAATATCAATTTTTAACAATTGTTCACCTCAGGCGATAAGAATAGACAAATCTGAATTGAACTTGCGGGTAGAAAACCAAAATAGGCATGACAAAAACAGAACGGCCAATCAAATTTATTTAGTGGACAGTAACCGAAATGTCAATAACAAAATGGTCAGAAGGTCGAATTATCTGTCTTACTCTCTTGCCTATTAGAGTTTGTGTCTTTGCTGAGCCGAACGCAGCCACCGCAGAGTGCCTACCGGGTAAATGATCATGAATAAATAAAGCTTATGTATCGTGACATTTATGTCTAAGAAGTCTCTGGTTTGTGTACCCGCGAGATTATATCGATAACTAATCAATGAGTAATAGATGACTGAAAATTTTGTGGCCTATTTATTATTCATGGATTACTCATTGAATATCGGATATAATCAATGACTAATCAATTGATTACCCATCGATTACCCTATTGATTTCATTCGTTGATGTCATTGATGCCATCGATTAGCTACGTCTGGTTTGTGTCGTGTAAGGTATCGCCTTGTTCCTCAGTGACTTACCGTTAATTATTAGCTAAGAAACACCTTTACAAGGCAAACTTGAGATGATTAGACACTGTATTAACATGAATTTAGGATTTTTATTCTCTTTATCGTAGAAACAATTATTCTTCGCATAATAATATAGCGGAACAGCATTTTTGAGGTAACTATTGCCTAACCAAATGGGAATTTTACAGAAATTGCGGGGGGGATGGGGGGCGGGGCTTGAAAAGACAAAGCAAAAGCAACCGTCGAAGGGGGTTATGGATATTTTCTGAAACTACACAATCCATGTAGCCCTTCAAATTTTAGAAGTCTCAAATTAACCTCAACTTACATAAAAGCCCGCGGGGGTCGGGCTTTTGCTAACCCTTGGGCCACCCCGAGCAATTTGCACGCACATGGTTTTGGACTGGAAAGAAATTTACAGGTCTTACACATTACATATTTTGCACATTTTTTTTTGTCCCTTATCAGGACTAAACAAGCCTGTACCACAGACGGAACGAAACTTCTGGTTAAGTGGTACTAACCAGGATTTTAATTCGAGTTACGGCCGCGACGCAGGCTAGCCGAAACGTGTAATCGATGTATGTTTTGGTCATTGGATTAAACTTGTTTTGCTCAAGGGTTTGAATAGAATTTAGTTTGATTCTAATAATAAAATGCTACAATCTGTTACTAAACTGAATGTTCAAAAGATTACTTGTTTATCTTCGCATATTTTTGAATATTCAGAACAAATGACTTTACTTTGACATTTCCGTTTAAAGTTAAACGAAGTATTTAAAAGAAGATAAGTAAAGATAATAATATAAAAATCAAGTTTTGGTGTTGTTTGCCTATTGTCTCTATTATCATCGGTTAGTGCTGTTACAGATTATACCGCGGGCCATTTGGCAATAAGTGGCCCCGCTCCCGGAAATTTGCCATCCAAAGAAAAAAAAAGACTAACTTTATCCCACTCCTTTCCTCCCTGGGGTATGGGATGGGCGCATTTGAGGTTGACCGATACATATGCTTTTTCTACTTACCACTGGTATGCGAGGTGTTTGGCTTGCAGACAACACTTGCGTCCTGTTGATGATTATAACGCACTATAAAACGTGGTGAGCTGTACGAGCAGTTTAGTATACTCCTCTCGCGTCCAATACATCCCGATAGATAATTAGTGTCTAACCACTCGGGGCCATCTCCGGGTCCATACACGGACGAACCAGTGGAGATAACAGCCTCAGCAAATCCAAGCTGTCTACAAATTACTCGAGTTGGTCTAGGACCAAAAAGGTGTGCATGATGCCAGAAGTACCTGTTGCGTTGGGAAATCGTTCCCCAGATACCTTTGAAACGAAGTTCAACTCTACCAGCGTGAGGAACTAGAGAACCACCTAGTCTTAACTCGGGTCCTAGAAGTGAAAGATGGAGTTCAAGCCATTTTAAGGATAAAATTCCGCTCAGTCTTATTTAATTATCTGTGATCTACATTATATTGTAACTACATAGTAGTACACCTTTAAAATACTTTTTTATACGCTTGTGAAAAGAGAATTTTTTTATTTTTGAAATCGCGAAAATAGAGGAACGACCCAAAATAAAAATGCTGAAGAAAACAGAAAATGGATAACAGGGCTAAGGTTGAACTTGACCTAGCTTTTGTCCCATTCAGTTTTATTTTCTGCCCTCTGTCAGGGGCACCCAACGAGAATATAGTTCAAAACCACTAAACATAGCATTGTTAAACGTATTTTAGTATTTAAACGGTACTATATCCGTATAAAAATAGGGGATTTTTAAAAAGTAGACAAGCCTAAAGGATCGACTTTCAGATCACTAGGCTTTTAATATCCCTAGAAAACTTACCTTTTCGAAAATTTCAGCCAGAAAAAAGGCTCCAGAAAATTATAGGTGACCTTTTTAGGGTAAAAATCCGTTAAAAATAGGCAATTATACCATTTTTTAGATGTTCGAAAATCCTAGGAGAGGCAGGCAAGCAAGAAATTTTAAAACAAATATTTCGAAAATTCTAGATCTAAAATAGTCTTCCGAACAGATATTCTTCCGAAAATTGTCGTTGGGTGCCCCTGCCCTGTTGTTCCCCTTTCCCCGTTACAGATACATCCAGGATTATCTTATACTTTTCTCACCTTCTTCAGTCATTTTGTTTGTACATACAACACTTGCACAATATGTAGACGGCGAATGCTGGTAGAAATCCCGAGCACATTGTTCCAAGGATGTTTCATTACCAAAACATCTGAAGTAAGTGAACCACATTGGGATATCAGAGGAACAAAAAATTTCGTATCCTGAAAGCGAGGCTGAATGATATTCTAGCTGTCTGCACGCTACTGTGGCGTCTTTAATGTCCCATCCTGATGCATAAACTGAACCCCACGTTCCAGCGTAATGAACCTCTATTCGTCCCATATTTGATGAGTGTGACCCTCGTAGCCTAATCGGCATTACTGAAATATTTTGTGGATAGAAGAAGCTTGAATTAGAGCCATATAATAACACATGGACAGTTAACATGGGCTGTTCACGCCAGGGGTACAATAACCGGCAGTTGCAATGGATTAAAATAGGCGAGTCTTTTCCGAGTTTCCCCGGGCCTCTCTATCAAAACGAGGTTAAGTGCTTAGCATTTCAATATGGAAATAATTTTTCATTCTCATGCAAATAAAACTCATTTTGACAAGAAAGGTTGTGCACTTGGCCTCATTTTGAAAGTGAAGGTTCTTTGAACTCAGAAGTGGCCTATTGAGCAAACTGAAAAACTGTTGTAAAATGCTGAGGCTAATATTTCAAGCCTCGTTGGATCAGATTTAGTGACATTCATTGAACGTTAATTAACTCCCTTTGAATTTATAAAATTATTTAAAAACTAATGATTATATAATGCAGTGTAACGATTAGAAAGTGAGACGCCTGCAGAACTGTGTGACTATACAAGGGAAACGTTTTTTTTACCGTTGGTGAATGACGAGTCCTTACAAATGACACTTGCAATGCTGTCCCTTCGCTGCAATTCAGTTTTATTTCCAAGCCCATCATGAACACATTCCATAACATTTGACTCGCTTCCAGTACACTGGAGATTGGTAATCCAAACAGGACCGCTGACCAGACCATAAACACCGTTCTTTAAAGCCACTTCCGCTCCAGCTGAGTAACCAAGCTGACGACAAACTACCGTGGCGTCAGTTATATCCCAGTTGCTGCTACTGATTGCTCCCCAGACTCCTGTATAAAACACTTCAACTCGGCCAGCGTAAGGTAAGGTGGATCCTTGAAGGCGAATCAGATTATCTACGAAAATGGGATTAAAATTTTTTTGGTGTATTGTCCATACCCATATCACACCGGTAATGAACGAAAAAAACTTTGTTTAAGGGTTAGAGCTTAGAAGTCTCTAACTGTTTTAATATTAAACCGAGTGCTCTAGAGGAAAAGTTTCCTTTATTTATTTATTTTTTTTCTAATCGTCAACGAAAAGGAAAAGAGCTGAAGACCGACCGGCTCATCGCATTAAGGGGGCGTTTTGTTTGTTTGTTTGTTTGCTTTTTTTTTCGGAGAAAATGATGTTGCCAGATTTGAGAAGGAAAGAAATTACTGTAGGGTAAATAGGGCATGAGCCTTGTGGCACCTTGCTTTGGTGGTGGACGTCTATCTGGTATTTAGCGTTCGCTTCTCATTTGAAGTTTACAGCTTATCTCTTTGGACATGGGGCGACAAAACATAAACTTTAAACTTTTGTCATTAAATGTTCGCGGAATTCGCTCTTTTGGTAGAAGGAAGTCTATTTTTAATTGGCTGCTTAAATCTTCTGCCGATATATGTTTCCTTCAGAAAACGTATAGCACCCCTGAAGTGGGAATGCGATTTTTCAATACAAAATTTTAAATTGTATAATCTTTACAAACGAGAATAGTAGTACTGAATTGTAGTTATGCATAGAGGTTCGTAAAAATGACACTTTCTTTCTTGGCAGTTTGGCATCTTTATTGTTGTTGTTGTTGTAACTTTTTTCCTTTTTTCGTTGCTATTGTTATCCTTTTTCTTTTTTATCTTAGGTTAGTATTTATTTTAGTGGAATTGTATAATTTATTTAATTAATGATAATTCTTAAATAACATTGTAAAACTTTTCTTTAATTCAATAAAAACTGCTAAAAAAAACTTCAAAAGGGGAAAAGTAAAGTTTTTCCTCCCCCGTCCCCTTCATGCAATGTTGTGCCGCTGATCGAGCTACTTATAGAAAACAACAAACATCCCAACTTTGAACGATGGGGAGGGGGAAGGGGTGTGGATTCTTTTATTCTCTGTAGTTATCCTATTTGAGGACAATGTCTCAACAATTTTGTCGCCGATTGTAAATTTGGATGAAAAAGCGTAGAAATAAAAGGAAAACAAGGCTTTTGACCAGAATCCCTCCTTTACTTTTTAAAACAAAATAGAGTGTTTTCCCGGCCCCGATTTTGCCACTAGGGAGCTCGCGTCAAGCCCATGACAAATTTTTTCAGAACACTCCTCTACGACCAGGATAAGATTGACTCGCCTGGAAATTTATTCCGGATATCACCTGCAAGGAAATCAATTTGGGAGATGGGTTAGGGTGGATTTGAAAACTGAACAAGGTTTTTGTTGTTGTTGTGTTGTTGTTGTCATTTAAAGCAATCAGTCTTTGAGCTTTCAGAAATTCGCAGGGCGCAGGAAATTTGAATTTTAAAGGTAAGTAATGTAGACGATCGAAATGATCAATGAGCAGATAACCTAAATAAGTCCTGTCTTTTTAGAAATTGCTTACCATTGTTATCAGAGTGTAAATTAAAAGTCTTGCAAATCACTCCCACTTCATAACCTGGCGAAAGATCGCTGTCGACCCAGTCTTGGTATGAACATTGTTGTAAAGTTTTCTCTGTACCTAGACACCGTACACGTGACATCAAAACCGGTCCTGAACCCTCTCTAAAAGCTGAGTACCCCACAGCGGTAATGGCTTCTGGGAAACCGAGCTGTCTGCACACAATGTCAGCCTCCTTTTTACGCCAATAATAAGGATTATTTATGACACGCCCCCAGACTCCATGTGAAAACACTTCGACGCGACCAGCAAAGGTTGAGTTACGGCCAGTCAGTCGAATGTACGTTTCTAAAAAACAAAATCACCTCATATCACTTAAAAACAGTTACTATCGCTATAAGCATAATGCTCATTTCAAATGTTAGTATTAGGGTATGGATGTTTACTCTTTTTTTTGGAGGTAGAATCTCTGACGTCATAGCCTTAAGTTTTAATATTATAAATAAAATGCGGTAGAATCTCTATGAAATAAGGTCATGTGCTGTATTTTGGTGGTTTATCCAGTTTGACAGGTTAACTTGAGCGATGATGTAACATGTCCTTATTTGGCGCGCAAATCGTAGGAGGAGGAGGAAGGAAAAAATAGAAATGTGGTGGAGATGGTAAAGGGAAAATAAAGCTTTGAGGGGGAGCGTAATAATTGAATTGTGCGTAAGCAGGAAGGGGGAGGGGTAATTAAAAAAATGTGTTTTGTGCTAGAAAGAGCTATCTGGCCTTCGTCCTCATTAATATGTATAATTTCCTCCTGTAAACCGTAACTGGAACAATTTTTTGTCTGCAATGGACAATGAAGGCGGCAGGAAATAGAGCGTGAAAATAGCCCACTTTCGATATATTAAAACTCTAACATGACTCCGAAGCTTTCTGGTTATTTTTCTATATTTGGTTTGGTTTTCTTTGTGTTCAGGTATTTGCTGGGAATTGCGAGACAATAACAGGGTTTAAAAGAAAATGAACAATGAATATTGGAGTTGGAAAATCCGGAATTATGAATAATACTTTATAGCCTCGGAATAGTGAATAACTCAAAGCTGTTAAACTCCCATAAAAACGGAAGACGAAAGAAATAATTTCAACTTTTCTACCCATCGCAGACATTGGAATCCGCGTGAAACCCGTGAAATCCAAAACAAAGCGGCAAACCCCGAAATAAATCTGTTCGCGGTCTACATCAAGAAAAAATAAATTCGTATACCACTTTCGTCAAAAATACCATACCCTATTGTGAATCGTGTTCGTTTTGACATCACCACCGACGAAACTGGTTTGAAATCGTACAAACTTCCCCAAGAGGAAGCTGACAGAATCGAATTCGTGCTCAAAGGTGGGCTCCAGTTCACGATGTAGCCACGCCTATTGTATTATGCTCGTGCCATAAGAAATGTTGATTTTTACAACTTTACAACTCGTTGGAGTTTGCAGCCTCTCACGTAACCATTTCATCAGTAACCAGAATTACTTTGGTCATGTTTGAATGAAGGCATACGTCCGTTTTTCCAAAGTCTTGCTTTTTTGCGGAAAGATTTTCCAACAGTTTTTATAAAATAGTTTAAACATTGTCGTGACAGTCATGTTACTTCCATTCCCACACTACAGTACTGACATAAAGTTGACATATCAATTGTTAGCGAATGGTTGAACAAATGTTGATAAGATGAAACTATAAATAATCAAGATATTGCATGGATTCTATTACTTTAGTTATAGACTGATGCAATTGTCTAAAAAGTTGCACTGACTCTTAGAACCTTCCATTGAAATGCTCGATAGAGGATTTGTAATTAAGGTTCCAACGAAACCTGGACCTGCCATTAGACAGGTCCCAAAATCCAACCGAGTAGTAATCTGGTTCTAGGTGGTGCAGTATAGCAGGTTCCGTGCGAGCAAGCAGCCTATCCTGCCCGACTTGTGAACTAAATCGATTACGTACGGATTATTGTACAAAATTTGGAGTTCGTTTCAGTTATAGTTTATTTGTTAATTTTTGCTTTTTAGTACTCTTTACATTATTTTCACCACATGCATAGAAAAAATAGAAAGGTACTTGCTAAAAATAAGGTTGAATATATACTGAAATGTAAACTTTTGATGACCAAAGTATAGAATAATTGTAGAAAATTTTCGCTTAAAATAAATTCCATATATTGTTTAATCTCAAGGTTTCTACGTCGTTTTTACAGTACGATTCTCTTTAGAACAGGGGTTTTGCTTTCTTGTGCAAATTAGGGGTTTTGTTGTTTGAACTTCGCTGGGATTACCAAATTTGAATATGAAAGGAAAAACAAAAAGGATTCTGGTTGTAGTAGTAAAATAACGCCATCGTGCAAAGGCCTATTAAGTGAAAGAACATTAAATATTCATCCACCGTTTGTTGTGTCAGTTACTATGTTGATAATAAATATTTATAAGTCATGTGCAGTGACATTATTTCTCATAAAACACTGCTACAAATAAGGAGGAGGTTTTATTGTAAAAAGTCACTGTACGTGATGTATTATCGACCATTTGATAGGTCAATGGGCTTATGAATTATTAATGAGTTTTTGAAACACCGTTAATGAACAACTTTATCTATTTATCCCAGAGTCAAGAAAGGCTATGAAAAGCCGGGAGCGTTCGCAAACCTTGCCTAGTCCCACGTGGCCTATGCATTTTGGGTCACGTGGTCCGAGCCATCAGCGAAATGCATTGACCAAAAAGGCCTGGGAAAAACGCCGCACAGGGACTAAGCAAGGCAAACCATGCATTTTAAATGGGCTAAGGGACTGTGCAATAATCATCAGGAGGAAGGGCTGAATTGAGCCTTACATAGAGCAATATTACGTTGTGCCTCTGCTAACAAAGGCAAGCAAGCTCTAACCCCCCTCCTGGTCACTAAAAAAATTATAACCAATCCCTCTATTGATTTACATGAATTCACTCGTTTTGTACTGTAATGTTGCTCGACGAAGCCAAACAGTCCGATTGGGCATCGTCCCCTGAGTTGTCCTGTGAATCACTAGATTGCAGCTCCCAGTCATCTGCGTGCCTACCTTTGATTTACGCAGGGGCAACCAATGACTGTTTTCTGTAGAATATCTGTTCCGAGAAGCAAAAACTACCCAGAATCTTCTATTGATTGAGGAAGGCTAAAAATTTCTAGATGACCGTTTCATTCATGTTCAATTTTAAAGCTTATTTTATAAATTCCCTGCCATTTTCTAAAGTTTAATTTTTCGCCTTTTACTCCCCAGATTAAGCTATTTTTTTCGTAGTAAAAGAAAACCTAAAATTTCGGATTCGAAAATACGATGTTATGCGACTTTCGAAAGATTTAAATGGCGTCTAAAACTTTCGCGAAAATAATACCGAAGCCTTTGTAATTTAGAAAAGACTCAAGTTGCCCTAGAATGACCGAACATACACAGATACAAATTTTGTAGCGCCGCTGAGAATGCATTTTTAGAGATCTAAAAGTACGCTGGATAGTGTAAAAAGCGTTTTCAATGCATTTAGGGGGAAACCGTCGTTGGGTGCCCCTGTTTATGGTGAGTCATGATCAGCAGTCTTCCTGTGCACTGAGATTCACGGGCCCTGTAGTTCACCTGACACTCCCTTTCGGGCTGAAAATGTCTTTACATTTAATGGTAATTCCTGTAGAGGGGACACTCCTCTGTTAGTTACTTTTGTCTTTTAAAGGGACACCCTCTTCTTGAGATCCTGGATACACCCCTGTTTTGCTAAGTAGAAGTAAACTAAATTATCATGTGACCAGAATTGTTCGCTGCTTTGGTACAAACTACAGTCCAACCTCCACTAACGGTCACCTCTCTACAACGGCCACATTTTTTTTTTGTCCCGGCGGACAGTCCACACCATCGACTCTTGTTTAAACTTCTCTACAACGGCAACGGCCACTGAACTGCTTCCCCAACTGCCAAAATAACCTCTCGACCACGACCAGTTTTTTCAGCGATGACAAAAAAGTCAGGGCCGGAATCACGGTCGCGAAATTTGATCCTTATGGCGCGTTGGTGGTTAATCTTATTTTGATTGTGTTCCATTTATTCTGATGCATAAAGCATAAATTGTCTATAATACTTATAGCAAATGTTGCGAGCCTTGCTCGTTTTGTCATCTAAACATTTTGGTTCAAAACATTATTTAAGTTTTTTCTTTTGTGAGTGTGTTTTATCTCTATATACCATTGATGATTGGATTACCATTATTGTAATATATAGATTTAGCCAGGGCAACTAGCCAGGGCTAAAAGCCAAGCTCCTATTAACTCGAATTTATAATTTAAATCACACAATAAACGTGTATTCCACAAATCAGTTAACTTTAAAGCACGTTCATGTGACTTTTGAGGGAAAGGCTAAGTGATTTTAGAGAAAAATAATTTGCTAAGAGCTAAGAGTGAACTTAATCTTACATCGAGTTGACAACCTTATGAAACTGCAATAAGCGTGTAAGTCTCTTGGCCTTTAATAACAACACCACAAACCAAATTCGAATTAAGATTTATTGTAGCCGACGTGCTTGGTACTAAGAGTGTGCATACAAACAGCGTGGGTTGAAACTAAAACGATAAAAAAGCAAAAAAGTTACAAGTTGCGACTAAGGTAAATTAGAGTAAGGAAATAACAAAGCTGCAAAACGAGGACTGTGAAGTACACTTACATTGTTTCGGCCAGAGAAAACTGCTGTAAAGCGGACTGCGAATAACGCGAAGAGACTTGCAAGAAACTAAACAGAACTGCGCTAATCGCGGACCAAAATGAGCTGCACAAACTGTACTGCAAAACTACGATATGAAAAAATACGCTGGAACATGCGGAAAATAAAACTATAGAAACTTAGAAAGGCGCTAATGAAGATGAAACAGCAAAGAAAGGCTAACGAGGGCGCGAAAACTGACAGAAAGGAATAAACACCTAAATTAACGCCAAAAAAAAGACTAAACAAAAGGACGAAAAGAAGTATAAACTAATTTGCGTACGCAAAGGAAAAACAAATTACGCGAGAACGAATAATAGAAAAAATGTTACACTTGGATCTTACACCTTATATGTATACCCAAAATAGCATAGCGATAATGGTTCTTGATGACAGTAGATTAGGCCTGGAAAACAAATTCTTGAAAAACAAATCAGGCCGAATTTTTTGCGTTCGACAAGTTTACTTTACAAAATCTTGCCAGCAAGTCTGGAGACGTGTAAACCAACCTTTTATACTTTTTATACATCACATCTGAGGTGAAACAGTACCATGAGGCGCTATTTTTATCATACAGACCTCGGACAGAATGTAGCA